CCACAGTTCTCACTCAGACTAATCACTCCTCAGACCCCTCCTTCTATCTCTGATTCCTAACAAAGACTCCGACTCAACTCCAGCTGACTGACTGCCTCCTCTCAGGCTCCACCTTTTAACATCTCTTGTAGCCCCACCTCTTAACCACATTAGCATATAACTCATGAATAATACATAACTTATTGCATAACAAGGGTGAACACTACAGCAAGAGACTAACACATATCAACTCATTATTGCCTCACAATGCTACATCACACACACGATCCAGCAACATGTAGCAGCAATCACAGCAGCAGATGAAGACAACATGAATTTTCCTCCATAGATTCAAACTGGTTTGGCTGGATGAGCATTTAGAGTAATTTTCCGTGTGTTAATTTTAATATGCTTAAAGGCGAAGAAATTAATGTTACTTTATAGATTTGTACTTTTAAGAACTTTGATGTATTCTCTCCCTTTTCAATGCATCTTTTAGGCTATAAGCTCCTGCAATTTTAGAATGCAATTTTGAAATAAAATTAAAATGTGATTTAAATAACCTTTTGGTTTTGAATGTACTTTTGTTTGCCACTTCTCAAAGTTGGAAGAATTTTGGATAGCAATCATGCCTGCAGCTTTTCACAAATTCCAAAGAAGGATTTCTGTTTAAACATTTGGGCCTTGAATTTTTCAACAGTTGTAAGACTTTTCGATATTTTCAATTCTGAAGTATGTTTGTGCATATGGAACATAGAAGCTTTAGATAAATAAAACTTGTAGAATTAGAGAAGCTGATATTGTTTGGAATCATTACAACAATGATTGTTGTAATGATTCCAAACGCCTTCGCAAATACAAAAGATGCATACCTTGATATCCAGATGAATGTTGATATGATTGAAAATGATAGCCTGATTTCATTATAGGATTAACCCTTTACTGGAATAAATGCCAGCTCTAACGAACACAGGCGTCTGGTTTTTTTTCCTTACAGGTTTGTGGTTCTGTAGGGCTCTTAGGGAGATATCCAGGCTCTCTGACCTGATCCCCCCTTTTGTTTTTAACTCCATCCTTTGATTTCACCACAAGTGATGCCAGCCATATTTGTATTTGAGAAAGGCTTTAATATATAACAATGTTATTCTCTTATTTATGGTGCTATGATATGAATCTTGAATTTTCAAATGGCTCTCAAAAAGTAAACATTCATACCTTGCCAAGGAACGCCATACCATCTGCATTCCCTGCATTTGCTGCTTTTAGGAAATAGTAGAAGGCTTTCTGAATGAAAAGAACATGATAGTTATGATTTGCATAACAACAGTTCTACAAATGTGGTTTTAAATACTATTCATAGTACCTAATGCTTGTGGCAAGAAATGTTTGCCATGAATGTTTGGACTTTGGTACTTGTTTTGAAGAAGTGGGATTCACCCATGAAAGCTTGTATAATATATGTTTTTTATTATTATTATTATTATTATTATTATTATTATTATTATTATTATTATTATTATTATTATTATTATTATTATTATTATTATTAGTGGCCTAGAGTATACAATATAATGCACAAGACTAGTGGCCTTAATAAAGGGGGGGAGGGGGGAGGAAGGAAGGAAGAAAGAGGAAAAGGAAAAGAATATAATAAATAATTGTGTGCTGTCAAGTCAATTCAGACTTGTGGCAATCCTTTCCAGGATATTCTAGGTACAGAGCACTCTCTGGACGGTTTACAACATAATCACCCAAGCAACACTTGACCACCACCACCAGTGAGCTGGGTACTCATTTGACCAACCTCAGAATGATGGAAGGTTGAGTCAGCCTTGAGATGGCTACCTGAATCCATCAGAACTGAACTTAATTTGTGAGCAGAGGCTTGACTGCAGTATTGCAGTTTAACCACTGCACCACAAGTTATGCATACTCATGCTTTGATACCTGTACATAATTGGATAGACCACTATTCATTGGTGCACAATATATATTAAATCTGTTATATTGACAACTTACCCTCTGCAAACCCTTCTACAGATAGTTTTGGCAGATAATTTTTAAAATATGTGGGCAAAGTGGTTTGACAGAGCCAGCCATTTACATGTCACCAAAAAGGTAGAAATATGTCACCAATGAAGGACAAAGGAAGTGCTGTTTCTGTGAATTTCATACATAAAGATAAATATTGAAATTGTTGCTACAAATTTGGCTGTAGTGGGGAAGACTATGACCAACTGGCCTCTGAAAGTATTGCAGTTTAACCACTGCACCACAAGTTATGCATACTCATGCTTTGATACCTGTACATAATTGGATAGACCACTATTCATTGGTGCACAATATATATTAAATCTGTTATATTGACAACTTACCCTCTGCAAACCCTTCTACAGATAGTTTTGGCAGATAATTTTTAAAATATGTGGGCAAAGTGGTTTGACAGAGCCAGCCATTTACATGTCACCAAAAAGGTAGAAATATGTCACCAATGAAGGACAAAGGAAGTGCTGTTTCTGTGAATTTCATACATGCTAATTTGTATCTATAAAGATAAATATTGAAATAGTTACTACAAATTTGGCTGTAGCGGGGAAGACTATGACCAACTGGCCTCTGTTGTCTGGTGCCACATGCTGATGAGCAACTTCAGGGCTCTGCAGTTCTCCTTTCTTACTGACCTTTCTGACAACCAAATCTGGACTGGAGTGGAAAGCCCCTCCAATGGAGGACACCTTCAATTAGAGGACTATCCTAAGACAGTCCTTCAAATCGGGGACTATTCTCTGGCTGCCCTATTCCATATTGATAAAACTGAAATATATATATTTTATCTTATCATAGGTAAGAACATGGGTATCCTGGTATTCACAGGAGGTTTTTCTACAAAACCAAGCATGGCTCTGACTTGTTAGATGGTACTGCTGCAGTGGTCAAAAAGTGAAATGCCTGTTCTTATGGAATGAGCAGTGGAGCACACTAAAATTATGATCCAAAAAACCAATAATTTTTAATGCAAGAAAAAGTGAAGGATTCATCAGCTTTCTACTTCACAAGAGCAAGCCCTGCCCACCCATTAGTGCTGCTTCACGTGATAAAGATATTTCAAAGAGAGGAGTTTGTATCAGACGTCAATATCCTCTGCTGCACAAGCTCAAGTACACATGAACAGATTCTTCAGAAAGGTGTGCCTAAATTATTGGGTTCACCTGAAGTTCTTGGGATCCTGGCCAAGCAAGGTAGCTGAAGAAGGAGAAGGAGAAGGAGAGAAAGACGTTGCAAGTTTTGTCCTCCTAGAAGTAGCCACAATAAAGCCACTGGATTATGATCAAAAGGTACAAGGTACCTTGCTTGTTGCCAGTGTCATGTGGGTTTGAGTGACAGAAAAAAAAACTTATTTTTCTTTTTATTTGACAGTGTGAGATTCACATGAGTCGATCTTTGGGCTGATTCATGGAGATCTTCTAGTATTAAAAGGTGTATTGTCTGAGCCAGTTTTAAACTGCTTCCTCAATGCAAGAGCATTTAAAGCTGTCATCTGTTGCCTCATAACCCTCTTTCTCCCTGGGATCCTCCTGCACAGTAGAGGGTCACACGGGCCGCATTCCATGGCTTTGGAGAACATCCCACTGCTTTGCAGCCTGCCTTGATGGTCAGAAAATACTGATGCCACAGGGAGAGGGCAGCTTCTTATCACCTCTCTAGGTCACTGCCTATGAAACCTACTGTTGTTGTGTCTGGAGAAAGGTCTGGAGAAAGGGAGAAAGGCAAGAGCTAGACAAAGGTAAGAGGCAGAGCCTCTTCCACCTTGCAAAGTTGGGTTAAAATTAATCAGAATCCTCTATGTACTGCAGGATCCTCACCAATCCACACATGGAAGGTGACCCATACATGTGATTTGAAAATGAACATACAATCAAGTCAACGTGGTTTGCTTTAAAGATGAGGAAAAGGCAAGAACCACTGCTGCTTGTTGAAAATGCATACATCTTAGAATGTGCTCTAGAATGGCACTCATATCTGGCCTCCTTTAACCTCTTCAAAAACCTCCTTGCCAAACCCCAACCTCCTGTCAAAAAAACAAAAACAAACCTCACACTCAAAAAGCCATCTGTACATTTGATGCATGAATGTTTTACGGAGCAAACCACATGCTGCCAGCACTCTCCTCTTTAAAGGCTCAAGCCCAAGCCTTCAAAATGCTTGCAGAACACAGACAAAACTAAAGTGTGTGTGTGGGGGGGGAGGTAATCAAAATAATATGTTTACATGCCCCTCTGGACCATGACATTAGTTTGTCATCTTAAACACATTTGATGGAACAGTGACACTAGAAACAGCAAAATACCCTTCTAAACGAAATGGTTTTAACAGCATAATGTTCAGCCTCAACATTTGGGTGTACTTACAGTATGATCTTTCTCTAGTCCCTTTCTTCCCATAAGATGCAGCTGTCCAAGGTACAGCTAGAAGTAATGGTTTTAAGAATAAACATTTCGTGTCTGAGTCAAATGATAAACTGCACAAATACCTCCGGCCCAGACAATAAGTCTTGCATAAAGAATTGATTGTATAAAGATATCATATCTTCAAAACCATTGTATCAAATGCATCCAAATAAATACTAAGTAATAAGCAATAGCGCTGTGCTGTCTGAATTCAAAACATTATGCTGTTGGAATTTGTAGTGAAGTTGGCTTTATCATTATCTCAACAGTAAAACTGCTGTAAAAATATACTTAGTATACTCCCATCCAATTATTCACCAGGGCTAAACTTGGAGAATTACTCTTCAGGGTTAATATTACAGAAAGCTGGTTTGTTCACGACAGTTTACTAAGAGAAGCCTGCTCATGGTACTAATAAAAATCTATGACCACCACCACTCCCTGGAACTCTTGGAAATGTTTTTAATACTGCTTTTCTTTTTAAAAAAAATACAAAAAAGAAAACATGGGAGAGTTTGATTGAAACATGTCTACCATGCTGTGGATCAAAAAATGTTCAAGATGTGCCAGAATCAAGCAAACAGTAAGATTATAAAAAATTCAGTTGTAAAAACAACTGAATTAATGGCAGACGGCTATACAGAAAAATGGTGGAGAGTCAAGATCGATGACTCCATCTGTACTGCTCTCATTGACAGCACATCAATCAATTATATTCTTAGGGCTCATTACTCGCCCATTTCGAAGTGGATTGGATCAGGCTAAAGTGGGCCGCTAGGAGGTCTGGTATGCCATTTGGTGCAATCTTTGCATCCAAATGGCATATGGATCTCAAGCAACTCTATTTGTCCCACTGTCTATTTGCCAATATCATGAAGTGGCTTGAGACGACAGCAAATTCAGGATATTGGCAAACACTTCCCATACTGGAATACTGTCTCCCATTCTGTTCTGGAGAGTCCTTCATTCCTCTCAAGCAGATATCGCTGACAAAGGGCGGCTCAGGAGAGCACGAACAGATGAAAATAAAACAAAACTCCCCCATCCCACAAGCAGGGATCAAAAGCCTTGTATAGATGTCTTGTAAGAGGGGGAAATAAAAAAAAAATCACCTCTGCAGTATGTCTGCTAGCAAGAATATTCTGTATGCAGTTTTGCTCATAGATCACTATTCTCTAGAAATGGTGAAAATAAAGGCTGAAATCCAGTAGTAAGTCACAACTCAAATCAGCCATCATCATCATCATCATCATCATCATCATCATCATCATCATCATCATCATCATCATCATCATCATCATCACAACAACAACAACAACAACAACAACAACAACAACAATAGATATTAGGAGTTACGTATTCTCAATTTAATAATGAATAACTGAAACTATACAAACCATACAAAAGCTTTAAAACATTTAGAACCCTCTTAAATTATGCATATAATCTAAAATGCCAGTGACTTAAAAGTGCAAAGTCTTATTTGGAAGCATGTAATAAGGAAGCCTCTTGCCTGTATCAGTGTATCTCCTCTTTCAGCCAGAAACTTATAGTACTGATGTATATTCCAGTCCAAAAATTCAGAACTCAGATTTTCTGATCTTTCCATCAATCTCACTTTTTCAACTGGCATTTCTTCCCTTTTTTCCAATTTGTTAGCAACTGTTAATAAAATTGCATAGGAAGCTATATAACCACAACAATAAATTTGCTAGAATCTGTATATGCTGGAAGTCATTTTTCATTATACAGACATAATTAAAACACCAATGGTACAGAAATCTTTATCACCATCCTAAGGCACTTGCAGTGGGCACAATGCCTTAATACTGGCCTCAAATATTCCATAATTTGAGCTAAAAGCACAATAATGTTGCAGGGAGATGACTGAGGTGGTCTTTCCACATGAAGAGCTTAAGTCTTGAAGATGAATCATAAAATTAGATTTGCATAATACCAGAAGTGACAGACACTTGTGGTTTAAGAGGTGCTTACGTATCAAAAATTTTGCTCTTCTGTCATAGGCTATATCTCTACTATCTCTTTCTGGCCTGAGAATGGAAGTTCCCTGCTATAGAGGAAAGTTCTTGTGTATTCTCTGTATTCAAGGGAATAAAATACTGAAGTGTATCTAAATTCTGGATAGACGTTATGGGACTGAAACATCAACACCCATCTAGAGGTCCACCGATAAAAGGGCAATTTCTCAAGGACAAACAAATGTGGCTTAATCAGAAAAGTATGCATGATGGAAGAAACAACAAGCTGTTTACGTATTGTTCTTGAAAACATGTCTGCTTTGAAGACAAATCTTTGGAGAAATGAATATGTTACCACTTCCAGCTGCAAAGCTGTCCATTTTGGTCCTCAAAGTTCTATGTAAGTTTCATGTGTGCACTTTAAGACTGGGTTGGTTTCCTCCTCACCAAGCTTTATAATTGCTTTGTCCAAAGGAGATTCTGTCAACACTTATTTTGCCACTTGTTACTTACTTTGAAAATCCAATTAGGGTCACTATAAGCTGGTTCTGACTTGACAGCATATAATAACAACAACAACAGAATTTTAGTACACCTCTATATACTGATCAGCTGAATCCCAAGGTACTTTGAATATCTTTTCCCTTTGTTATGTTTAAGATTTATCAGCATCTTTTTCTCACCTCACTCCCACCCCATGCAGGTCTTAAATACAGTACAACAGTGACTTTCCTTGGCCATGCTGACTGAATCACTGGGAAAGACAGGAGCTGCAGGCTAACACACCTGAACATCAGTGGATTGGAAAGTATACCCAATTAACATTTTAAGCCATGGCAAGATGTAACACAAAATAATCACTTACTGAAATCTGCAACTTTCCTGTAATTAATCAATGCTGCTTCACAGTTCCTTGGAACATTGATTCCTAGCCAGTAACGATTTCCCTGAGGGGGAAACAACGTGTCATGATGATTATTTTAACTGTGACCCAAAATTTTGATATTGGAAATAGTCAATTATATGATGTACAAACCAGGATCATTTGAGATATAAGATTTCCTCCAGTACTTGCAAATGTGTAGTACAGAAGAGCCTAAGGACAGGAACATTTTTAAACATCATGTCAGGTTGGCTTTAGATCATATTAACACACAACGAAGATCTCCATGATGATGTGGTATGTTTGGCATTTCATTACCTTTGCTTGATTATATTCCACTCCTATTCCATATGAAGACAAGAACCCTAAAGCCTGTAGAATTGGATAAAAGCAAAATCTTAAAAAGTAGAAAATAAACCACTGACTTAACAACTGATTTTGCTAACAGTAAACTTATGTCTGAATCTTGATGTGATAATTTTACCATGGAGTTATTTTACTAAGTCAATTTGATGGAACAGTACAGTAGTTAGTTTGCATTTATTCTTGTGCAGAAACAACTGCAAGCTTCATAAACTCATACTACTGACAGTGTTGGCTAAGACTGACGGGAGTTGTAAGCCAGCAACACCTGAAAGGCTATAATTTTAAACTTCTGGTCTAGTGCTTCTCAAACTGTGGGTCCCACAATATTGTTGGACAACAGCTCCCAGAATACCCCACCAATGGCTATACTGGTTGAGATTAAAAATCGAATTTCACACGGGGAGCAGAGATTAAGATCTAGCACACCATGTTAAATGTAGGACATACGTATTCTGAGGGAATGAGTTTCCATTTGGGCTACACTACTTCAGCAACCCCAAACAAAAACACGTTTTTCACCTAGGGGGAAAATATGGCATGTGATTTTTATCAAAATATGGAACTGACCTTCTTAAATAATCCTTCTTCAAATGGCAATTAGGAGATACAAATCAGAAGACAGAGGACACAGAGAAACCAAGAGAAGACACAAAAGAAACCTGAGCAGAGTATGCTTAAACAACTAATTTTCATGAAGCTGTCACATTGTGTCTTAGAACAGTGACACATAAATATATGTTATGGACATTTTCAGGTTACATTAAGGCACATATTAGAATACTATGTGAACACACACGTATTTTATACCCTCACATACCCCTCTTTGAGTAAATATATAGTTTCAGGAATGAGAACAAAAATTAAAGTGGCAGATAGACTGTGATGTGATGTCTACATAGACTCCTTCAGGCACGAGCATGGACTTCCATCCATACTACAAATCAGCCACTTCCATCACTCTAGGTGTTGAAGGTCATTCGCGTGTAAGAGACAAATTGGTTGACTATCATGCCATAGTAGACAAGAGATTTGAAAGCAGCAGCGTTTAATGATGAATGAAATAGCTGCACATAGCAATAACAACTGAATTCTTTACAAATAAAATGATGAAAAAGTGTACAAGTCAGTCAGCCTTTCTGTCTTTCAGGCAAACATTTGATTTTGGACATAAGTCCAAAATAAGTTTTATTTGTTTGTTTGTTTGTTTGTTTGTTTGTTTGTTTGTTTGTTTGTTTATTTATTTATTCATTCATTTATTCATTCATTCATTCATTCATTCCATGTAGCAGATGGGATTTTTTTTCTTTCACACATTGCCATGTTAATAGTTCATTTTTCTATGGCAGTCCTGCAAATTTATTCTTATGTGTCAAGAAGTCATTTCCAAGTTATAGCAACCTTAAAAGGGTTTTCAAGGTACATGAGCAGTTTACCATTGCTGCCCTTCTGAGCTGCCATGGTTGTGCAAAGATCTCAACCCAGGCCTCCTGCGTGCTAGTCTGATGCTCTAACCACTCTACCATACTGACTATCTACACTGAAGATATCATAATATATAACGTAATGTGTAGCCTTAACTATGCGGAAGTATTTTAGGAGAATACTATTAACCTGTTGTAGCAAAAATACTGCATCAGCTTTCAGAGACCAGAGTTTGGAAACAACTCGTTACAAATAACAAAATATTTGCAATTAATTCCATCTCCCTCATAATGAACGCAGAACTAAGTTACGTTGGCCAAAAACCTGTTGGGAAATACCAGGAACATTAAGGCAGGTGAGCAGTAGTTTTTTCCTCCTCTATTGCCATTTTTTATGTGACTAATCAGATGAGCAGGTATGTAACTGCTTCCCTGACCAGAAAGAAGGACAGGAATGCAATGGTTTGTACAATTGCCTACTTAAGCTGTGTGACATCAATAGCATTCTGGTCATTACAACTGCAGCATAACTAGAGATATACTCCTTTTGCATTATAACAGTAACTAATCCAAAGTTACTTTTAGAGTTACAAGGTATGTGGCCCTACAGTTTAGATGGGTTATTTTACAGGTTAAAGTAATTATTTTAATTACTCCGAATAACCAGAAAACAATTACTTATTAAAATCACTATAAAGTGACTATCGGGGGGCTTGGAATTCGAACTGGAGCGAAGTCATTTTAAAGTAATTTTTCAAATTATTCTATATAGACTTTTATCTGGAACATGTGTGTGTAGCTTGTGCCACAAGAACTGCGAGTCTCTAAAATGTCCTAAAAACTCTTTCACTGTTCTATCAAAAGTGAAACTACCGAGAAGGCAAAGATTGGATGACAGGATTCAAAAATAAAGAGATTTGAAGCAGAAGAGAGGTATGTGTTCAAAATATTAGCATGATAATAAGGCTGAAAAACATTTCTGGTGTACAGCATGAAAAAATTCTGAGAAGGTATGTTCAGCTCATAGTAGATTTTTGCACTGTTAATAGCAGGGATAGGGACTCAAGTCATAGGACTTGCTGTCAAATTGAACTTCAGTTGGGTCGATTTGGATTTATTTGTTTTTTTCAATGACTCACAATTGACTTCCAACTTGGAGCCCACCTTTCCCTCCCTTTTATTCTGGAGGGGAAAAAAGCTAGTTTTTAATAGGTCTCTGGACTTGGGGCTTGGGACTCAGAAGTTGGCACCAAAGACTTGGACTCTGACTTGGTACCAAAGACTTGGGACTCTGACTAAAGACTTGCCTACATCCCTAGTTAATACGAGTCACCATTAACACACCAATACACCTTAATCACAATGTCAGTTTCCTTTTTCCTATTGCCCTCCATAAATCTATTTGATTTACATTTCATTATCTGCCCCTAAGAATATTTGTCCATGCTAAATGTGTAGAAAAATATTTTCATTCCTAACCCATGTCAATTCTAATACGTGTGACAACATCCTCAGTTCTAATATCTTGAGCTCTGACAAATTTTCTTTTGACTCTGGGAAAACAGTTGCCCACTTTTACAACATCTTCAATGGAATCAGGGCCAACTTCATTGGTCAAGAGCTGTTTTGTGAATACATTTCACCATTCTCTTCAAATCAGGCAGTTCAATGAATAATTAACTTTGGTGTCATCACCTTGTTGACATTTCTTGGCAAAGAATCAGTTGCATCTTACTGCTTTTCAATTATTTATGCACTTTTAAACTAGACGAGTGTCTATTTAAAGCACAAGCTAATTAAAGAACACGTACAGTCTGGCCTTTGTGAGATCCTTCTTCAGCTAAAATCTTATATAGTGAGACTGCTGCTTTTATATCTTGAGGCCTATTATATCCAAAGAGCAGGTCTGATGCCACCTTCTCCATAGCTTTCTGGGCTCCCATTTTTGCTGCCTTTACAAGAAGCAGGCGGATTCTGATGTAGAAACACAAAGTTAAGATTTTAGTCTTGTATGTACATGCGCATACACTTGCACCCTTTAATGTTATCTCATTTAAATGTTATATTTTATACTTCAGAGTGCTGGTGAGTTTTTCTGGCCCAGGTACCAGGATAGATATTTTACATCTGGTGGCCTTCCTTCTTAGGCTCAATCAAGAATATGATATGGGCTTGAGCCTAAGCATCTTCCTAACATCTTGCAGATAGCTGTTGTTTAGGCCAGCTCCTTCCTGCATATCTCCTAATCTGATGCCCAATTTTGGTTTCCAGTGTGAAAGGCAGAGCATCAGTTTGACCAACGTTCTCATGTCTGAAACTGAAGTGTACTTCTCTATGCCTGTTTCTCCCGGAAGCCAACATACTCTGTGTATTTGCAACACTTGTGTGCATGCATGTGTGTGTTTGTATGTCTGTGTGCATGTGAGCATGTGTGCATTGCTCAACAGACTTTCTTTGTGAATAGAAAAAGGCACAAGTGAATGTGGCTTTGTTTCTTCCACCTTTTCTTATATTTTGCATTGACAAGGGTGTTTCGCTTGTGAACATTTGCAGTGAGAGTTTATGAAATACAATAGTGGTGGTTTTTTCCATAATCAGCTCCCAGGGTGACATATTTACATACGTACTGACTGATGTCTCCTTGGAACACTGTCAGCAGAACCAATGAAAGAACACTTACACTAGCTTTTCCTCTATGTTTTTTGAATGCTTCAGCATTTCAGGTCCTGCTTGGTAAAAATGATGTATTTTCTCCTCCTTTTTTCTAGTCTCCTCTTCTCCTAGAAATGTGATCAGAAAAACATGATGACACTTGATTCTCAATTCAAGGATACACGTAAACCACTTGGATCCAAGACATCTGAAAGGCCACCACCTCCCACATAATCCTGTCTAAAGATTGAGGTATTGAGCAGTTCCTCTTTTGTCTGGCCCAACATCCTGAGAGACTAAAAGTGAGCACATGAGACAAGACTGTTTCTGTAGCAATAACATAATTCTAAAATTCTTTCCCAAAGGAAATCTAGCTGGCTCCATGTTTACTGACCTTCTGTCAGGTAGTTAAAATTGCATTATTCTGTTGGGCCCTTGTCTTTTTAAATGGGATAACTTGTTTTTTAACAGATGTTTTATTCCTATTCTGTTTGTATAGCTGATGAGCAAATAATGATAAATAAAGCAATCCATTACAGTATATCTGTATTAGATTGTACTTCAGTGAGGTCCTTCTTGTAAGGAACTTTTATCTCACACATTTCCCCCCCCACTCCTAAATGCCTTGTTTCAATTAATTTAGAGTGGAACTCAAATATAGCGTTCAAATGAGACCTGCAAATGAACAGAAATGCTCCCTAAGCACAATGGATTTTGTGTAATGCAGAATATGCTTTCTAAAGATAGCTTATTCTGCAGTCCAAACCCCATCAAGCATTTATGAGTCCCTTGCACTGAGAACTCTGGGCATCTGGCTCACCTGTCCATCACATATTTGAAAAACAAAGAATGTCTTAGGTTGTAATCAAAGCTGGCCCCTAACACTAAGCAGAGTGGGATAGAGATTTTGGAGGCAATGAAAGGACAACAAATTACTAGCTATCAAGCTTATTCTTAATATTTTTTTTTACCAAGGGCTCGATCACAGGTGCAAAATAAGCTCAGTTATATTGATTCTGCTATTATTTAAATCATTTTATAAATTCTCGTTCATATAACTCACAGGTAACATTTATTCATTTGGCCAGTCAATTTGTGAAAGGGTGAGGTTATAGGTACCATGGCCACTGCATGACCATTGTGTTTGTACCCTCTTACAAACAAACAAACAACCTATCAATAGATCACTTGCAGCAGCAACAACAACACAAATATATTGGTTGTCGTGGGGTTTTTGGGCTCTTTGGCCATGTTCCGAAGGTTGTTCTTCCTAACGTTTCGCCAGTCTCTGTGGCTGGCATCTTCAGAGGACAGCACAAATATATTGTTCAGAAGGAGACAGCCTTCCTCCCCATCCATTGCCAGTTTAAGGAAGGAAAGGGTAAAGAAGGTGCGGAGAGAGAAAGGGCTGTTTCCTGCTTGGAATTGTTTGAGGAGAGAAAGAAAGGGGCATCATATTAACATCTCTCTTTTTTTAAACTCTCCTCTTTACAATACTTCACAAGTCTTTTAAAAGCCACTTCCTCCTCCTGATGTTATTTAAAGGGGAAAAGAAAAATGAAAGCCAAGAACTGAGAGGAAGAGATATGCAGGAAAGTAAGGAAAAAGGGACAAGTGAGTAAAGGAGGGAAGGGAAAAGTGGAGGAAGAGAGAAGGAAAACGGGGAGAGAAAAATGAAACGTGGAGAAAGGAATTGAGAAGTTAAAATTTTTGAAGGAAGGAAGCATGCTGCTTAAAGTGTGCTGCTTAAGGAAGGAAGGGCTGCAGATGACATACACCACCAGGCTGCATGTCGACTAACAGTTGGAAGTGACAGAAAATAGTGATATATCACTTACACATAGAGATGCCCACGAACTGAATCACAAACCAGAAAAAAACACAAACTGGGCTAGTTTGTAGTTTGGTTCATGGATCCCATTTTGTTAAAACAAAAAGAAACACCAAACTTTTCCCCCTCAGCATTTTGTTTTGCTTCAGCAAAGTGGGATGCCTGACCCCCTCCTCACTGCTCCCCTTGCCTCCTTAACATATCTTCAAGCCACTTCTACCACCTTTGCCATGACCACCATCATCCTGAGAGGCTGCAGGCTCAGCTCCTTGCACAAAAGCTGGGCCTGCTGCCTACGCACAGGCACCCGCCTGTCATCAGAGCAGCATGTGCATGTTCATGCGCGCAGGGCCAACTTCTGATCAAGGACTCAGGCTTGCTTCCTCTCAGGATCGCAGGGGCATTGGCGTTGGCTTCAAGACAAGGTACGGAGATGGAAAAGGCAGTGAGAGGAGGAAGGGCAGGAGCAGGGTGGTTCCCCCTGGCACAACCCCCCGAAAAGAATCACAAACCGTTTTTTTTTCCCCAGAGGGGTTCATGATAGTTCTGAGGAGGAAGGGCAGGAGCAGGGTGGTTCCTCCTGGCACAACCCCCCTCAAAAGAATCACAAATCGGTTTTTTTTCCCCAGAGGAGTTCATGATAATTCTTTGTTTGTGGTTCGTGGGTAGCCACAAACCATTGCAACCCACCAGTTTTCTGGTTCATGCCCATCTCCACTTACAAATGATTTTAAAAATAGAGAAAGAAAATTTTAGGGCTGCAGGGACACTGAGATGGCATGTGTAGCCTACAGAATGGGCACAAGTAGCCAGAAATGTACGGATCAAACTGACAACAACAACAAAAAAGGGGAGGAGGGGAAGACAATTGCTGTGAGAAAAGGCAAGGAAGGCGTTTGTGTTGACTACATGGGCTCTCCACAAGGCAGTGCAGCCCCAGCACAGTCCCAGCGGAGGAGAAAGGCAGGAACAAGGGGGGTTATCTCCCATCTGTCTCCTCAGTCTTCACCTCCTGGCACCATTACTGCCACAACACGCTTCCCCACAGCACCCTCTTGACTTGCAAGTAAACCAGACAAATGTACTCAAAGTAAACTGGTTAAACCTTACTTGTAAATAAACTTGGTATACTTACATGCAAGTAAATCAACGATCAAAAGACTTGTGTGGGACCATTGCACAGAAGAATATCAACGATCAAAAGACTTGTGTGGGACCATCGGACAGAAGAATAAACATCTTCTGTGAGAATGGAAGGATCGCTCCAGTGAGAGATAAAATTTATCACACTGAAGATAAGAAATTTTTAAGTGCAGACCAGATGACTCCAAATTCCCCTGTCTGAGGAGGCAATCTTAACAACTGGAATCTAATTGTGGAAAGCAACTGGACTTTTAAAAACTGGTTATTTCATTTGTTTTTCTGCTCAGAAACCCTGCAAATGCCTCATGCTGAGAAAAAAAAGATTAAACCTATTTATAGTGTAGGTGGCCAGCTAGCTAACTGTAGCGTGCACAGCAGTGTTTCTGTTTTCATCCTTTGTCAGGAAATGGCCACTATGTTAGAGAGTATAATGATACTTTAAAAGAGTGAAGGGTAACTTGGGTAGATACTTGTTTAGATCACTTAAGGCTACTCTTTAGCAATAAACATCAGTCCTGATCCATTCATCATCATCAGAGGGAAAAATTATTTCTTGTTTTAGGCAAATGAACATGCTTCTTTACATGTGGCATAGAGACCACAAATGAAACTATAAAGCAAAGAAAGGGAAGTACAAGGTCTTACATAAGAACATAAGAAGAGCCCTGCTGGATCAGGCCAAGGGCCCATTTTGTTCAGCTCCCTGTATCTCACCGTGGCCCCACCAGATGCCTCTGGGAGCACACGAGACAACAAGATACCTTTCTCCTGATACCCCTTCCCCCGCATCTGGCATTTGGAGGTACCTTCCTTTTAAGCCTGGAGAGATTATACATCCCCATCATGCCTTGTAACCTGCAATGGACTTTTCCTCCATAAAGCTGTCCAATCCCCTTTTAACGGCATCTAGGCCAGATGTCATCACCACATCCTGTGGCAAGGAGCTCCACAGATGAACAACACGCTGGGTTAAAAATTTTCTTTTGTCTGTTCTCACTCTCCCAACACTCAGTTTGTGTATCCCCTGCTTCTGGTACAGTGGTGCCTCGCACCACGATAATAATCCGTTCCCCTGAAATTGCTGTTAAGCAAAAACATCATCCAGCAAAAACCGTTTCCCCATTGGAATGCATTGAAACCCATTTAATGCATTCCAATGGGGAAATTACCTCATCTTCCAGTGAAGATCGCCCAATGGGGGAAGCCATTTTCCCCGTGCCGATCAGCTGTTAAAATGGCTGCCCTGCGAAGCATGGGTCCGGAATTTTCACCTCCATTGTGAAAATTGCCTATTAACACCTACTCTCTGTTTCTTGATTCTCAACCAATTCTTGCTCCATAAGAGGACCTGCCTTCTTATCTCTTGATTGTTGAGTTTTCTCAGCAGCCTTTGGTGAGAGACCACGTCAAACGCTTTCTGAAAATCCAGATAGACAAGATCCACTGGTTTGCCCACAACCACATGCTGTTGACCTTTTCAAAGAATTCTAAAAGGTTTGTGAGGCAAGACTTACCCTTATAGAAGCCATGCTGATTTTCCCTCAGCAAGACTTGTTCTTCTATGTGTTTTAAGATTTTATCTTGGATGAGGCTTTCCACCATCTTCCCTGGAACAGACGTTAGGCTAACTGGCCTGTAGTTTCCTGGGTCCCTCCACCCTCCTTCCCTTTTTTTCTTGAGGTGCAGCAACCAGAATGGTACATAATACTGTACTCCAGGTGCAGCCTTACAAGCATTTTCTACAATGGCATTATAATACTGTTTGTTTTGTTTTCAACCCTCTTTTTAATGCTACCTAGCATGGAATTTGCCTTCTTCACTGCTGCTGCATGCTGGGCTGACACTTTCATCCAACTGTCCACGCTCAATTCCTTAATAACCCTTGGGTGGATGGTATCAGGGCCTGGTGATGTATTGATCTTCAATTTATCCATTAGGTCTAAAACACCCTCTCTTTTAACCTGCATATAATTTAATTTATTAGTCAGGAGGGTTCATTAGGGCAGTGAAATCTTTTTTGCCACAGAATGCATTACTTTACATTTTTTTATACTGAAATGCATTTGCCAGTTTGGAGATATCCTTCTGGAGCTCTTCACAATCCCTTCTGGTCTTCACCAATGGGAAAAGTTTTATGTCATCTGCAAACTTGCT